CCAGCGCAACACTGCCCTCCCCTGCGCCGCCCAGCGCAGCTCCGCCCTTCCCTCATCCACCCCCCACATTGCCGGCCCCCCCTGCATTGCCCAGTGCAACACCGCCCTCCCTTGCGCCACCCAGCCCTGCGCCGCCCAGCACAGCACCGCCCTTCCCTCATCCGCCCCCCGCAGCGCCAGCCCCCCCCCTGTGTTGCCCAGCACAACACCGCCCTCCCCTGCACCGCCCAGCGCAGCGCTGCCCTTCCCTCATCCGCCCCCCGCATCACCCCCCCCCCCTGTGTTGCCCAGCGAAACACTGCCCTCCCCTGCGCCGCCCAGCGCAGCGCCGCCCTTCCCTCATCCACCCCCCACATTGCCGGCCCCCCCTGCATTGCCCAGAGCAACATCGCCCTCCCTTGCGCAACACCGCCCGCCCTGCACCGCCCAGCACAGCACTGCCCTTCCCTCATCCGCCCCCCACAGCACCGCCCCCCCTGTGTTGCCCAGCCCAATGCCGCCCTCCCCTGTGCGAGCAGCACAGCACCGCCCTTCCCTCATCCGCCCCCCGCAGTGCCGGCCCCCCCCTGTGTTGCCCAGCGCAACACTGCCCTCCCCTGTGCGAGCAGCACAGCACCGCCCTTCCCTCATCCGCCCCCCGCAGTGCCGGCCCCCCCCTGTGTTGCCCAGCGCAACACTGCCCTCCCCTGCGCCGCCCAGCACAGCACCACCCTTCCCTCATCTGCCCCCCGCATCGCCGGCCACCCCCTGTGTTGACATGTCACCACCCGCGGCATTCTACTAGTGCAGTAGCCAGGGGCACTGTGTCCACTATCCTAGTAGCCGCGGCGCTGACATGTCACCACCCGCGGCATTCTACAGGTGCAGTAGCCAGGCGCACTGTGTCCACTATCCTAGTAGCCATGGTGCTCACATGTCACCACCCGTGGCATTCTACTAGTGCAGTAGCCAGGGGCACTGTGTCCACTATCCTAGTAGCCGTGGTGCTGACATGTCACCACCCACAGCATTCTACTAGTGCAGTAGCCAGGCGTGCTGTTTCCACTATCCTAGTAGCCGTGGTGCTGACATGTCACCACCCACGGCATTCTACGAGTGCAGTAGCCGGGTGCACTGTGCCCACTATCCTAGTAGCCATGGCGCTGACGTGTCACCACCTGCGGCATTCTACTAGTGCAGTAGCCAGGCGCACTGTGTCCACTATCCTAGTAGCCATGGTGCTCACATGTCACCACCCGTGGCATTCTACTAGTGCAGTAGCCAGGGGCACTGTGTCCACTATCCTAGTAGCCGTGGTGCTGACATGTCACCACCCACAGCATTCTACTAGTGCAGTAGCCAGGCGTGCTGTTTCCACTATCCTAGTAGCCGTGGCGCTGACATGTCACCACCCACGGCATTCTACTAGTGCAGTAGCCGGGCACACTGTGCCCACTATCCTAGTAGCCATGGTGCTGACATGTCACCACCCGCGGCATTCTACTAGTGCAGTAGCCAGGCACACTGTGTCCACTATCCTAGTAGCCGCGGTGCTCACATGTCACCACCCGGGGTGTTCTACTAGTGCAGTAGCCAGGCGCGCTGTGTCCACTATCCTAGTAGCCATGGTGCTCACATGTCACCACCCGTGGCATTCTACTAGTGCAGTAGCCAGGCGCGCTGTGTCCACTATCCTAGTAGCCGCAGCACTCACATGTCACCACCCGCGGCATTCTACTAGTGCAGTAGCCAGGCGCGCTGTGTCCACTATCCTAGTAGCCATGGTGCTCACATGTCACCACCTGCAGCATTCTACTAGTGCAGTAACCAGGCGTGCTGTGTCCACTATCCTAGTAGTGGTGGCGCTCACATGTCACCATCCATAGCATTCTACTAGTGCAGTAGCCAGGCATGCTGTGTCCACTATCCTAGTAGCTGTGGTGCTGACGCATCACCACCTGGGCATTCTGCTAGTGCAGTAGCCAGGTATGCTGTGTCCACATCATCCTAACAGCTATGGTGCTCACATGTCACCACCCGCGGCATTCTACTAGTGCAGTAGCCAGGCGCGCTGTGTCCACTATCCTAGTAGCCATGGTGCTCACATGTCACCACCCGCGGCATTCTACTAGTGCAGTAGCCAGGCGCGCTGTGTCCACTATCCTAGTAGCCGCAGCACTGACATGTCACCACCCGCGGCATTCTACTAGTGCAGTAGCCAGGCGCGCTGTGTCCACTATCCTAGTAGCCATGGTGCTGACATGTCACCACCTGCAGCATTCTACTAGTGCAGTAACCAGGCGTGCTGTGTCCACTATCCTAGTAGTGGTGGCGCTCACATGTCACCATCCATGGCATTCTACTAGTGTAGTATCCAGGCATGCTGTGTCCACTATCCTAGTAGCTGTGGTGCTGACGCATCACCACCCTCGGCATTCTGCTAGTGCAGTAGCCAGGTGTGCTGTGTCCACATCATCATAACCACCCGACTGGTCCCTGCCATATCCCCTCCTGTACAAGCCCCATCCCGTGACCGCACTGCTGCACTGCACCGCCAGTCCGGTCGTCGCTGCTGGTGCTGCTGCAGAGGTGACGGGTGCACCGTTATAGCCAGCGGCCACCACCACCACTGCAGCCGCCACCGCATCATCATAACCACCCTACTGGTCCCTGCCATATCCCCTCCTGTACAAGCCCCATCTGGGGCCCGCACTGCTGCACTGCACCACCAGGCTGGTCAGCACTGCTGCCATTGCTGCAGTGGTGATGGGTGCACTGTAATAGCCAGCCACCACCACAGCCGCCACCATATCATCATAACTACCCGACTGGTCCCCACCATATCCCCTACCGTACAAGCCCCATCCGGAGCCCACACTGCTGCACTGCACCGCCAGGCCGGTTGTCACTTCTGCCACTGCTGCAGCAGTGATGGGTGCATCGTGATAGCCAGTGGCCACCACCACCACTGCAGCTGCCACCACATCATCATAACCACCCGACTGGTCCCTGCCATATCCCCTCCCCTACAAGCCCCATCCGGGGCCCGCGCTGCTGCGCTGCGCTGCCAGGGTGGTTGTCCACTGCTGCCACTGCCGCAGCAGTGACAGTGCACCTTCCTCAAATCCAGCCGGTCGAGGAGTGCACTGTGATGTACAAGAATTGTGGGGGACTCTTTGTGGGAGGATGATGAAAGGAACAGGACGGCAGGAGTTGAACCTGCTTGCTCCAGGCGGAGTACCGCCGAGCACCCCGATTAGGATTCGTCCCTGTGTATGTATCAATTGGTGGTGCACCCATCCATCTCCGCCGGTCACCCGACAGCCCTGGTTTGCCCCGCACCAACAGCACGCCTCCCGGGTTCCCATGACCGGCAGTCGGAAAGCCATCCAGCTGCTATGCGCCCGCCGGCGCCTTGCATCCGAGGGCCGCGTCCAGCCAGGGTGCAGCCCTGGCCATCTGCTCGGCGGCTCAGTCCGTCGGCCGGGCACTTCCATGACCGTCAGTCCAGCGCCTATGATCTATCTGCAATGGATCGATCCTAGACAATCCGTTTTGGGGCTCCTGGAGGCCCATAAAGCGTGGCCGGGGCATCATGCGCCCCCTTAAAGTCGACCACGCAATTCCTTGCATGTGCTATATTCCAGAACAATCCTATGCGTTTCGGTTCTTTTTGGATGGGTACAAAGCGAGAAGTCCTGTCATCATCATCGGCCAGGTCGAAGTCGGAGGTGCCCGCGCGTGAAGCTCTTTGCTAAACTAGTTAAAGCAATACCTTTTCTTTAGCTATGCAGTCTCTGTAGCCCGTTCATTTGGCATTATGTAAATGTGTGACCTCTGTCCGGCAGTCGCAGTTTCCATCTACCAAAGTATGACCACTTTGCGCAAAATTTAAGCTATAAAGAAAAGCAATAATTAACTCAATTGGTGTTCCTGGCCTCGCCGTAGTTCGTTAGCCAACTTCCACTCCGGGGCATAGGCACTCCGGGAGGGGGGGCCAGTATGGGACAGAATTTTTTCTCATTGTGCCCAAGGCTAGAAGCTGGCGTCAGCGGAACTTCGTGCAGCGTTTAGTCGTTGTTACGAGCTTCATCGCCGACCTCCCGGGCTCTCTAGGGTGTCGTCTACTGTGATGCCCGCTTGTTCTCCGTTCTTGTGCTGGGCAAACAGCGAAGAATCCACCAAACATACGGGGTGAAAGGGCATAGGCTCCGTTTCTCGTTGGGATGCCACGATGATTACAAAGAGGGCCGAGCGACTTAAGCCAGCTAACAACCTACAAGATGTAACAATGATGACATAACAAACTAAACAACAACAACGACTTAAATAGTTATCCAGAGCCTAGGCGGCGCCGGAAGGTCGTACATTATCCGTATCTCAAATGATCGTCCACGAGTAAAGTTAACGACTTAACAACTAACAAGAAAACCTAACATGCCCCCCTGCTTAGCACAAGCATCGGCCTCGATGCGATCAAAAGTACAAAGTATTCTAAGTCGTGCGCCACTCCGATTCCCTGAACGATATCGGTACCAGGCTAACGAGGGGAAGGCAAAAGGGAACCGGAGTCAAGGCAAAACCTTCCCCGCACTGGATACCGGCCTAAATAAGGCGCACGACACCTATACTTGCCGGTCTGAGGAACCGGTATATATCCCAACGAACGTGTCCAAAACATCCACAAAGAGTACGCAAACCAAAAGCCTAAGGCACGGAAAGCAAACTCGGTGGATGACAAAAGA